ATAAGCAAGAATTGGGAGGAACGAAGAACGGATTTGCCACAGCTCAGTTTCACATTCTACTCCCCCGTGCCTCCACATTCACCCAAGACTCCGCAGCCTTTGTGGGAGGTGCAGCAGGGGATCAGTGACAGGAACGTTTGTTTGCTCTTCGCTCTTCTCACTTTCTTCATACATTTTGCTCTGTTTATCCTAGAACTGCCTGATTACTGCCAACTTGCTCTCTCCTGACTCAGTCACTAAGATTAGAACTTTCCAGAGGTGGTACAGAGAGAAGGTGGCCCATCTCTGCATGGCCTTAGCTGCTCCCCATAGAGAGCTCGGTTTGGAGCAGGTCAACTCCCCAAAGCCCAGGCTTTCTTATCCGAGTCCTGGACCTCACGCAGAATGGACCTTTTTACCTTTGCTCTTCCACCATTTTCCAGCCCGCCTTTCTCTTCCTACCCAGGGACAGGGATGCAGAAAATGGGCTTTTCTTTCCTGGTCTATTTTAGACCCCACCTCTTTTTTGGACAGAGGATAAAGGTGTGGGATTATGCTGAGATTCAGAATGCAAAGCACAGTGCAATCACCGGGCAAGATCTCCTTGGAGGTCAGTTCTCATCACTCAGTTCCTTTTCTTCCTAGTAACTAGGCCGCTCCATGACCTGTTGACAAATGTCACACAGCTTTTCCACCACTGAATGCCCACAAGCACGAGAAGGTCACTGAACAAACCAAACCAATGCACGCTGTGCAGTGCGCTGTGCCGTACCTCTGTACCAGGCATCTGGCAGAACTAAGGCGGAGAGCTTGGCTCGGCGTTTGCTTGGCACCACCTATCACCATGACAGGCCAAGCCTGCCTGCCTCCTCTGGTTTGCTGGTCCAGGAGATCTGAGAGTACATGCTAATGAGGTGAGCAGGATGGAGAGGGTAGGCTCAGCGGCTCAGATCTGTGCTTGGACTGGCAGATGCCACAGGGACTCACTTCCACCACTGCTAGGAGTGTTGTCCTTATTCCGGTTCCCTGGCCCCCGGGGAGTGCTTGGAGCCTTGTAATGAGTATAACCTGAGCCCCTAAACTCAGGCTGTACTCCTCTGCTGAAGCATGCTTCTTTAGTGTACGGTGGATGCTCCACCCGCACGCTCCACGTTCTTCCTTCCCAGGCTTCTGGCCTCTTCTGGAGGGACCCAGCCTGGAGCTCCCCATCCACTTTCCTAGATTCCTCCTTTCCCGCCCTCCCCCTGAACCTCACTCCCTCTTTCTATTTTCTTCAACTTCTTTTGGAGGCAGGGACATGTTTCAAGACAGGATTTTCCTGTGTAGCCCTGGAACTCACTCTGTAGCTCATGCTGGCCACAAACTCAGAGATCCCCTTGCCTCTGCCTCCCAAGTGTGCCATGACCACCCAGATTCCCCAATTTCTTAATGTCATTTGTAGATTTTTGTTTTCTTTTTCTGAGGCAGGGTTTCTCTGTAGCCTTGGCTGTCCTGGAACTCCCTCTGTAAACCAGGCTGGCCTCAGTCTCCCAAGTGCTGGGATTGAAGGCGTGCGCCACCACTGGGCAGCTTGTCTGTCAACCACCTTCTCACCTCAATCCGATTGGTTCCTGGTTTCTTTGAAGGAGCCCAGGGCAATGTTACTCTGAGAGAATAGACTTTGACTCCCAAGGCCACGAAATAGCAGGCATTCAGCACCATTCCCTTATGGGTCATTTATCTTCTTAGAAATTACGAGACCTGGATAGAGGTGGGCAGTCCTTGGGCTTCCCACAGGTCAGGGAACCCTGATTGCTCTTCGAGCAGATGAGGGAGGGGGAATTGTTCGGGGGAGGGGGAGGGAAATGGGAAGCGGTTGTGGGGACGAAGCAGAAATCCTTAATAAATAAATAAATTTAAAAAAAAAAAAAAAAGAAATTCTGACCAGCACCAAGTGACCTCCAAGATCACAGCTACACTTCCCTTTACCCTTGAAGTTCAACTTCAGTTAAACATTTCTGACATCAGTCTCTAGAAGCAAAGAAAAGACCTTCTTGACCAACTGGAACATTCTGGTCCTGGCTCTACTGTTACCCACTTGGTGTGGGGGGAGCAGAGGGTGGTGGTTCTGTCAAGGGTGGTCTAGGAGGAGGCTCTGAAGCTGCAGTTTCCCTGATCAGCTCTCTGGGTGACCCCTGCTGGGCTTGGACAGTGCTGTCTCGCACCCCACCAACTTTCCCACACTAGGTACGGTATGGCACCAGAGAAAAACAGGAGGCATCCAGGCAGTATTTGGTGTACTGAACTCGAAGATTTTCTTTTAAATTTGAGAGACAACAACATTGGGGCAACATCAGAAACAGCATCTCTGACCAGACAGTGCTGGCAGAGCAGAGTTCATCACAAATGTAAATGTACAGCCATCCGGGTTCAGTCTCTGAGCTGCTTGAAGCTCTGCTGCTTGCAATACAGACAGCAAGGTGATAAAGTGTATCACGACCCCATCACACAGCCAGGGCACTGTGGAGGAAGAAAAGTAACCAAGGGGGCGGGGAAAACAGAGGCTCACAGACTACTCAGGGCCAGAATGGGACACGAACACAAAGCAGAGTCCTAGTTCTATCCGCATCTACTGGCCCAGAGTCCAGTCCATTGCCAGTGCCTCTGACCTCACACCATAGCCCATACCTGGACATGAGCAGGGAGGGGCTTCCTGGAGCAGGAGGTCTAAGAAGGCAGGGCCTCCATCTCCATACTCATTTCTCCCAGTAGGCCAAGGCTGACCAGCATGCTGAAGGTTTCCATATCAGGAATGGAATGCATGGACCTTGAGATACCAGTGCCAGAGAAGCTTGAGGAGTGTAGGAGACATAGTAAAAGTATCCCTTGGGCCATCCTTGGGCATTTGGAGAGTCTAGCCTAAGAAGGGCCTCCTGGACAGACTGTGCTCAGTATATCTGGAGGAGAAGCTTTTCCCATGTGATGCCTGGGATGGGGCTACAAGCCTGGGAACAAAGAAACAGAGCCATACCATGGGTCTCAGCCTGTAGCTCCTCGACTTCCCATGAACCACAATGTCATCATTGCAGTCCACTACCACACAACTGCTTGGGGGCCCCTGGTCAAGCACCAGAGAGGTGGAGAGGACTAATTTCAGGAAGTTCTTGAACCAACCTCTCTGTTCATGAACTCAACATCTGCCTGTCTTTTAGTCCACTCCAAGGAAAGGCAGATACCCAGCTACCCTAACCCACAGCCTCTCTTTCTCCCTAGGCCCCTGGCAGCTCTCTAATCCCTCCCCACCCCAGTGTCCTTCTAGGTCATGGAGAAGACTGCAGAAGGGGTGGGGGAATGCAGGTCCAGGGCAGGCTGAGCCTCCTCCCTTCTTCTGTGTGTAACAAGGGCAAACCACGCCCGGTACTTGAGCCCCATTGTGTTCATGAGATGAGGGAATATGTCTCCCTCACAGTGTTACTGGGAAATATCAGTGCCCGAGGGACACTGGCATCTTTTTTATGTCGGGGCCAGAAGGCCTGAGCAACCCCACCATTCTCTAGGCCTCTACCAGAAAGGCCCTTCCTCTTCTAGGCAGGTTCTTCACTCAGCTGCTCCCCGGGCTGCTCAGGAACAGAGGCAGGCATCTCTACATAGGGATCCATCTTGAAATGATCACAGAAGGGAGACATCACCCAGAAGACCAAGGCTTGAAAAAAAAGACTTCAGAGTTGGCTTCCTGTGCACTCTGCTTCTCCACCCTATCCCGACAGCAGATGCTTGCTGCTGGAATCCTTCCCACTTCCCCAGATCCTGTGGCACACAGCTGCCAGGCTGCTCATGGCTGGAAGATGGGCTTCTGGGTCTCACCAGTGTCATCACAGGTGCTGCTGGGCAGACAGGGAGGATGGGAGAAGCAGGCTGTGGGGGAAAGAGACGATTGTAACCAATATTTCCTGTTCTTTCCTGTCTGCAGATGCAGAGAGCCTCAGGAATGCCCCAGACTGGGTTAGGGGAGCAACAGGGAGAGCAGGGGGAGCAGGCAGAGGACAGTCCCCTGCCCCATCCCCAAGAGTGCAGGAGGCAGTCTGGAGAAGGGCTGCACAGAGCTGCAGAGACTAACCTTGGGCCTGCATGCAAAGAAGGGGACAGACCTGAGGTTTGGTTCAGAAAAGAACTGTCCATTTTATCTGACCACCTGACATAGGGAGACCGATGGACAAATATTTCCTCTTCTAGCACCTTCCTGGGGGGCTCACTGGCCCAATTCACTCTGTCATTCGGGGTTCAGGTTACATCTTAGGAGGCTTCTACAAAAAAGGGACTTGAAGCCAGGGTGGTGGTGGTCCATGCCTTCAATCCCAGCACTCAGGATGAAGAGGTAGGTGGATCTCTGTGAGTTCGAGGCCAGCCTGGTCTACAAGAGCTAGTTCCAGGACAGCTAGAAATGTTAGACAGAGAAACCCTGTCTCGAAAACAAACAAACAAAAAAGGGACTTGAGGCCTGGAGGTGGGTGAGAGGGGCTCCCTGTCTCCCGATACCCTATCATGGGACCACCACCAGAGACACGGGAGAGCCTTGCCTACCTTTTCAGTTTCTAAGCTTGGCTACGCAGCAGGTGTGCCATGGCGTATTCCCTATTTCCACAAACGAGTTATACCCACCAGCCCCCATTCCAACCTGTCCGCACCTACCTTACTGCACAGGGCCTGGTAAATCCTGCAGTAGCACACCCTCTTTCGGGTTCTCCCTCTTTCTGGCCAATCGGAGGCAACAGGTTTGCCAGACTCTGATGATTCTCTGGATGCCGCGGAAAATGACTCGGCTGCGAAGGGTTTTTGCAGTATGGGATGCAGTACTGTGGCCCTCCGCGGAGGCCTAAAATGGAGGGACCCAGGCAGTTCCGTCTGCGCCCCCCGCCACTGTCTCTGGGCCCTGAGCGGCCCCAAGGTCCTTCAAGCGGCCGCCTGGAGGGGATGGGGGGGTGGCGCGGGTGATGCAGATGGCGCTCTCCACCCGGGGGGCCGCTGTTGTGGCGGGCGATGGCTCACTCGATCCGCACCTGCAGGCGGACGTTGAGCATCACCGAGGCCACCATATAAAAGTAGGGGAAGTTCACGCGCAGCCGCCAGGCCAGGTTGAAGAAGGTGAGCAGCGTGCGCGTGAGCCCCTTGCAGAAAGCGCTGTAGGAGCCGCGCATCGCCGCCCAACGCGACAATCGCATTACCAGGCCGGATAGGGCTGCAGCCGACAGGGCCGTCGACACCGCCATCGGCCTGGCTCACCCGCTCACCCGCCGCAGAGCCAGCTCAGTGTGCCTCACCGTGCTGCACCGCGACAAGTTGCCCAAGGCTGCCTGCAGCCCCGCCCTCGGGCTCCGGGTCCTTGCAGCCTCCAGTGCTCCACCCACCACCCCGCAGCCTCAGTGGCTCTCAGCCTTCTTGTGAGACCTGCAGCTGCTCGGCTCCGCCCCCTCGCCTCAGGCTCTGGGCAGAAGTCTTTCTTTCCCCCACCCCCCACCTAGTTCAGCAGGTATCTTTGTCTCATCCTGAGTCCTGCTGCTACAGAATGGTGGCAGAGGTCGGGCCGGGCTTGCTTGGCCTTACTACCTCAGTCCTACAGATGGGAACCCTCTCTCCACGAAGTCTCATACCAACCAAGTGCCTGTCCCACCTGTTCAGCTTGTTATTCCTAGAGTGCACAAATACTGAACGGCGTGAATGGTGCGCTGCAGGGACTAGCTCTAGAGAAATACTCTAGAATTCATCACGATGTTTTTATTTCTTTTAAGGACTAGCCAGCTCTCGTGGACCACTTTTGCTAATTCTATAGGAAAGTATATCCAGTAGTTCTCTCCTGTGCACGCTAACAGCCCTCTTCCACCGCCTCCTCGGGAACCAGGTCCAAGGACTCATTGCACCTCTCATTATTTGCATAATGTCCTGAACTGCCCCAAGCAGTGCCATCAGATCAATGGTGCATGCATTTTGTTCCATTTCTGTTGTGTTTGCTGGCTGCCTTTTCACGTTAGCATCTAATCTTTAGATCAACAGGTTAAACCAAATCCAACCCAAAGCCAGATAGTCTCTGGCGATGTGGGTAGCTAGCGTTCAGTCACCTATGCAAGGGTGAGAGAAAAACAGCCAAGATTCCGCATTGTAGAGCGTTTCTCAGTTACTGTGTTCAGTGGGTTAGGTACCCGAAGGGCATTTTCGTCTTAGGATATTTTCCACTTAAAATTGATTTATCTAGATAAACTTCAGAGTAAATCAAAGATCATCTGTATTTATTAATAGGGAGTAGAGTGATCCCTCCAAATTCTATTTTTATTTGACAGCACATCTTTAGTTATTCTAGGGGCTGTGCATACCCACATAATTTAAGAAGTAAATAGTGAGTACAAAAGGCATTGCTTGAAACTGTATTAAATAGACTAGTTTTGGGGAGAACTGACACCATTTTTATGTAGATTGTTTCATGTTAAGAATAGAGTCTGTCTTTGTTCATCAAGATGTTTTTATTTCTTTTATTGAAATTCGTATGCTTTGGCATTGAGATCCTTTTTACATTTGTTATAGCTACTCAAAAATACTCATTTCCTTTGAAAGCACTATAAATGATTTTGGACCTTTAATCTCAGTTTCCATATGCCTGTTCATCATTAGTATATATAAATGTATCTTTGTATGTATATGTGTCTGCATGCATTCCTGTGTGGATTCACATGTATGCATAGGTGTGCATGCATTCCTGTGTGTGGAGGCGAGAAGACAACCCATGGAGCCTATTTACTTCAGTTGTTGGACCATCTCTTCATGGCTAAGAGCCCTTCCAGTAGACCAGAGAGAGGGTCAACAAGCTCCAGGGATCTGCCTGTCACTGCCTTCCCAAGATCTGGGATTTTAAGCTTGTGTCACTGCCAGGTATGACTGCACAAGTCTTTGATCCTAAGCATTCAGGCAGCAGAGGCAGGCAGACCTTTGTAAGTTTGAGGCCAGCCTGGTCTACATAACAAGTCCCAGGCCAGTCAGGCCTGCATGGTGAGCCTGTGGACTAAAAAGCCCAACAAACAAACCAAAAAACCATCTCTGCCCCCTGTGCCTCCATGCCTGGCTTGGGGAGGCAGTGAGCAGCGTGGCTTGTCTCTTAAAGAGACAGAACACATCATTACACTGGGCATGTCAACGTTGTGTTTTACATTTGGAGCCTTCCTCCTACCCTTGAAATACACATTTCTGTGCATTCATCTTGTGTGCAGGGAAGAAGACAAACTTTCCGCTTGTTTCTAGGGATCTTTTTGTCAATACTGTGAAACTTGGTAACTAGAATATCTTATTGTGTACAAACAGTTCTCTGTCTTTTCATTATTCTAGCTGCTCCTTGTCTCATTGCAGTGAAGAGAATTCACAGTGCCAGGTTGAATGTAAGAGTTTGATACCCTAATGGCCGTGTATGGGCAAATGCGTTTTCTAAATCACTGATTTTGAGTATCTTTAGAAACTAAGATTACAATGCTGGGTGTGGTGGTGCACACCTTTAATCCCCTTACTGGGAGGCAGAGGCAGGCAGATCTCTGTGAGTTCAATGCCAGTCTGGTGTACAAAGAGTGATCCAGGACAGCCAGGGCTCTTACACAGAGAAACCCTGTCTCAAAAGATGAAAAAAAAAGTACTATTTTAAACTTTCATATACCTAACTTTTTGATTCAGTCTCAATCTGTAGCCATACTTGCCTGGAACTCACTATGTAACCTAGGCTGGTCTTACTTTTGTGTTATTATTTTAATTGTATTTATAATGAACAAACGCCAAACACATTAAAAATGTGTGTATGTACATGCATGCTAGCAGGGAAATACACCTGCACGTGCTTGTGTAGCTGCATATGTTTGTCCTGTGCAGAAGCAAGAAGTTGTCTATCTATCTCAGCACTAGAATCACTTATGGGTGTTTGCTAGGTGCGGCTGGCATGTTACACAGTCTTGGGATCTTAACTCTGGCAGGTGGATGGATCTCTGTGAGTTCAAGGTGTGGTGGCACATACCTTTAATCCCAACCCTTGGGAGGCAGCGGCCAGTGGATCTCTGTGAATTCAAGGTGTGGTAGAACACATCTTTAATCCCAACAGGTGGAGGCAGTGAGGCGGGTGGATCTCTGTGAGTTCAAGGACAATCTGTTCTACAGAGTGAGTGCCAGGACAGCCAGATACACAGAGAAACCTGGTCTCAAAAAACCAAAAATTAAAAAGAAAAAGAAAAAAAATAGAGTTTAAAATAAAGCCACGTAAAGATGGAGAATACACAGAGTCTTGATACTATATGTTATTGTGTTACGGCTGCTAAACGACATTTGATTATAAATGTTGCTGAATTAATCCAACCTATGTATTTTGAAAATGCCTTGACTTTATAATATAAGTCAAAATATATGTTACTTTGGAGAAGAGGCTTTGCTTTTGTTTAGACAGGAAATGAGAGGCTCTGGATTCATTCTGGGTTAAGAAAACTCAAGTTTGATCAAAGAAGACCTCCTGAGAAATCCAGATGGCCCAGATGTCTGAGTTCTACATCTAGAACAGATTCAAAACTGCTGGCTGAGATGATCAAGCCTCACAGGATACTCCAGTCAGGACTTGCTCATAATTCTAAATGTTCTTTAGGTACCCATAAGATTATCAGTGCCACCAGTCAGCAGGAAGTAGAAAAACTATGCCCACATTCTCAAAAAATGGATATTTTTCTTTGTTTAGAGTGTTGGATACATGTTGTTATGGATAATGGTCAGGAAGAAAGCTAAACAAGGGACATTAGATTCAGAATTCTTGTTTTGAAAAAAAAAGTGTGTGTGGGTGAATGCTGTGGGACAATGGTCTTGTACTTTGTAAAGATTTGTCACTTGTATTTTAATAAAATGCTGATTGGCCAGTAGCCAGGCAGGAAGTATAGGCAGGGTGACAAGAACAGGAGAATTCTGGGAAGAGGAAAGGCTGAGTCTACAGTTGTCACCCAGAAACAGAGGAAGCAAGATGAGCATGCCTCACTGATGAAAGGTACCAAGCCACACAGCTAACACAGACAAAAATATAAGTTATAAAAATTAATAAGAAAAGCTTGAGCCACTAGGCCAACCAGTTTATAATTAATGTAGACCTCTGTGTGTTTCTTTGGTACTGAATGACCGTGGGACCAGGTGGGACAGAAAATCTCGATCAACAAACTCCATTTTTAATTATTGATGTCTTCATGATTGTACACCAAGTGCTCCTAACTGCTAAGCAAGCTCTCCAGTCCCTAGCAAAATAATTCTTTCAAGGAGTGTTTGCATATAAACTTCAACTTACCCTCAACTGTTTTCATTCATTACAGCCCCAGATTTCTCAGTCTACAACATTAGACTGGGATACTGGTGCCTAGGCATGAAAATATAAAACACCAGAAGAATACATGAATTTGAATCATGGTTATAGATATAAAAACTTCAAACAGGCCAGAATTTTTAGAGGAGGTAATAGAAAAAGTAGGCATGGTAGTGCATGCTTACTATCCTGGAACTTGGAGGGCTGAGGTAGGATGAAGCCCAGCATGGCCTACACAGTGAGTTCAAGTCCAGCCTGGAGCATATAGTAAGAACTTGCCTAAATCTCTGAGGTTTAGATTGATAATAAGGATAGTTATTACATTTTTCAAGGCTAGTTTCTTTTGGGCGATAGAAATTAAGTCTAGGGATATGGTGTTAGTTAACTGAAACATAAATGTTATAGGTATATTGCTCTTCCTGCTAGATTGGCACCTTTATTATAAAACTCCCTTCCTAACCCTATAGTTTTTTATGGGTGACTGCAAAGTTCAGTCTAATATAACCCTCCTTATCAATGGGGTCTTCCAGGGAGCCTCTGAACAGATCAGATAATAACTATCTGAGGGACTTAGACTTCCTCCTTCATTTGACAACAAGCAGAACTGCCACCTGTTTTCTCAAATTCCTCCTTTCATTTCCTGACAAACATAAGCATTTGAGTTATTTTTATGACCCTAAAATGCTGATTGAAATGATTTGCCAGTAGTTTTACTGATATTTTGGAGGTGAGAATTATTTGTGGCTTTTCCTCTGCCATTTTTAGCTTGTCAGGCTTTGATGAAAGAATGGACAGTTAAAATAATACTGCAGCAATTTTAGACATCAATCTCTCCTGGACTCACTGTCCTTGTTCCTTAATTGTTTCTTGAGTTAAGTGGCTAAACTATTTTATCAATGTTGTTTCCCCTGTAACATG